TGTCGCTCTTGTTCCAATAATAGACCTGCGGCTCATTGAGCCGTAGGTCGGGTCTCACGCACTAAGCCAAGAATATTTATATTTTTTTTGCTGCGGCTCATTGAGCCGCGCAAAGCAGCACATGCATATATACACACACATATATATATTATGTATGTGTGTGTGCAACTCCATGCATGTATGCAACCTCCAGCGCATCCTTGATTCGCGGGTCTGCATGTGTGAAAAATGATCTTTGAGTCGCTCCACTGTGACACTGTTGTATACACTATAGATAAATATAGAAGAAGCGGCTCTTTGAGTCGCTCCACTGTGACACTGTTGTATACACTATAGATAAATATAGAAGAAGCGGCTCTTTGAGTCGCTCCAAAGGTTTGCAGATCCGACGCATTGTGCCCCAAGAGTTTGGGCTGTATCAGGGAGTTGGAAGGTTACCCGTGGGTCCATGGCGTTCGATCGTCTGAAGGCATTGGAAAACTACATAGACCAATGCAGTGGAACCCCCAACTTTGATACGTTTTTGGAAGAGCAGTGCTGCGCGCTTGCAAAAGAATTGCAGAGTACACCAAAGATGTCTCTTGAGGAAGCAGGTCCACTTGTGGCGCTGATAAAGCAGAATAGGTATTGGTCGGAGAGGCAGAAGGAGACCTTGGTAAAGACCATACAATCTGCAGCGCAGCAAGCAATGTGCGGCAAAAGTCTGACTGGTCGCCTGGCCATGCAGGACTTCGCATGGTGTCCACTTTACTTGACACAGAAAGACTGGGATGTTGTACTCTCAGAGCTCACGAACGCAGGAGACAAGTGCGCTTGCGTCATGCGGCGGCTGTGCAGCCTTGGGCTTAGGTGTCCTAGCGAGGAGACCCAGGCCATGGTGACCGTTTTGATGCTGTTGCGAGATCCCCAGAGATATACTTGTGGCATCCAGATGAGATCCTCCTACTTGACTGAAGAACCTGATGTCAGACTTTGTGAAGAAGAAAAGGTTACCAGGACCCGCAGATGAGCTGGAATACCTAGCATGCTTGCCAGCAAGTCGAGGCGCTCTGCCAGATGGATTCCACAAGGCGGCTTATGCGGAAGGTGAGGGGCCAAGTGAGAACCTTCCAAAAGGAATCACTATCGAAAGCCTTCGACAGTTGATGAGTGTAGTCCCCATGCGGTCCAACAACGTCACGCTTCGTGGCTGGCACACGCCGAAGAGCGCAGGCCCGAGTTTCATGCCTGCGGGCAACATGTGGCAGCACATGGGCATGTTCTGGCCCCGTGCGGCCCGTGCGCATGTGAATTTTGGCCAGCAATACGTGCCTCGTGCAGTTCATCCAGGACGCTGTTTTGAATATATGCGTTAACGCGAAATGCGGCTGAGTATATGTATAAATGTTTGAGGATTGGCTATATATAAATATATAAATTATACAGTCATTTGTTCTGTTGCAAGAACGCCAGTGGTGCGCAGGACAAGGTCAGCTTGTCCTGCCTGGTCAGCTTGCATTGACCCTTCCTGGCACAGCGCCACAGGTTTCACAGGCTTCGATGCCGCCTGCGCTTGCATTGACCCTTCCTGTCACAGAAGCACAGCCTTCACAGGCTTCGACGCCAGTGTTGGAGAAGCTCGAGGTGGTGCCATTGCCTGGCAAGGACATCAAGGAACCTTGCAAAGTTGTGGAGGAGAAACCATTGGAGCCGACTGCGGCGATGGCTTTGGAGGATGCGGCGCCTGCAGAGCCTCAGAAGCCGTCCAACCTTGAGATATTGGAGACTGTGGCGCCAACAGCAGAGAAGGGCCAGAGAATTCCAGCCATTGAAAATGGCGATGTGGGTCAGGAGAAAAGCCCAGATGTGACAGCAATTGAGGTGAACGCCATGTTGGAGCAAGCGCTGAAAGAGAGAGACAGAGACAAACAAGCGCCTGCCACAACTGCCACAATGAAGCGGCCAGCTGCCTGCCCATTGAAGCGGCCAGCAGCAGCCCCGAAGAGGAAAGCTGATGAAGGTGCAGACTCAGTGAATGCGATGGGTGACAGGTGACATTCCTGAAGCGAAAGCAGCTAAGAAAGCTGCGGTCGCCAAGGCACCACCGACTCAGCCGAAGATTGGCACCAAGGGCCCCATTCCTGGCGAGGCCAGGCGGTTGCAGCTCATGCCCAACGGGTGTCCCACATGCCGCAACAAAAAAGGTTGCACACCATCCTGCTGGATCCAGCGTGGATACCGCAAGCGGGGATGAACCTCGCACCATTTTAAGATGGAGCCTGTGCAGCCTAGGAGGATGACGTATGGCAGGGAGGCAATGCGACCACCTTGCGGGTTTTGGATCCTGGCGGACCATCCTGCTGTCCAATCGGCCGGAGACCTACACGACGGCTTCTGCTTTCGCAAAGTAGAGGTGAGAAGAAAAAGCTTGATTGCGTATAAATGTCTTTAGCGGCTCATTGAGCCGCTGAATACTGTATTAGCACAAGTTATATAAGTTCAAGAAGTTGTGTGTGTGTTCGGGTGGTGTCAGTGATCCCGTTGGCGGCTCATTGAGCCGCCAGAAGCAATACATATATAGAAATATATATATATATATCCATAAACATATATGTGTATATATATATATAAGAAATGTATTTAGCTCCATGAGCCGCAATAGAGGTGGGGGGGTGTTTGTATAATGTTCTGATATAACAACCTACAACAATTGATGCGGCTCGATGAGCCGCATTGCAGGGATGCACGTTTGTATATACTGTTCTTATCTACAGTGTATGTTGCCGGTACTTGTTGTAAATCTTTCCTTCTATATAGACAGAAGCTGTGAGATGTTCAAATGCCGCTCGGCCGGCCCAAACACTAAAGCTAGATTCACACTCAACAACACAGCAGATTTGCTTGTGCCGTGGCGGCCCATTGGGCCGCCCCAAACACTAGCTAGATTCACACTCATCAACACAGCAGATTTGGTTCACGAAACTGCGCTACAAAGTCTCCAGTAATCTTCCACAGCATAGGTGTGGGGCAGGCATCTTTGTCGTAGACCAAGTAGTCCCGCCATGGTGGACACTCACAGGGACCGCCGTTCAAGTAGACACGCATGCAGCACAAGATGGCAATGGATTGCGCAATCGAAGTAGCACGTGCCTTCGTGTCAGACCACATGAAGCGCAGCCATAGCAAACACTCCCTCAACACCTCAAGCTGGAAGTCTGCATCCTTCTCAAACCAAGGCATGACAACCATGATGTTGGCCACGCTCATCCGAACATGTTCTGCACCGAGGCTGGTCATGTCTACCAGGAGCAGGTCTTGTTCTTATGAACTTCAATGGCAACTGATGTTCAATGATTGTTTCTTCAGCTTGATTCAGCTCAACCCTTTGAAAAATATACAGGGGTTACGTATAGGTTGGTCAATTGATGGGCTAGATCTAGGTTGGCTGGCGGCCCATTGGGCCGCCCAGGTGTGTTGGTCAATTGATGGGCTAGATCCAGGTTGGCTGGCGGCCCATTGGGCCGCTCAGATGTGTTGGCTGCCACCCCCGTGGAAAAATACCATATACTCTAGACCTTATGCCAAGGGTCCTGTACCAAAAGTACTAGTCCTTGAAAAGCAATGCATCAAACATAAACCTTGATTCATTTGCCATTGAACCATTCAAAACAGAACTACCATAGCTTCACCTGATATATCTAAATATTCGGGTTGCTGACCAACAACTTTCACATACATAAAATTTGACTAGCCGATTGTTTTCACATATCACGGAATTACAAGTGTATAAAAATGTATAAAAATGTATAAATCAATGCGGACCTAAATTTATACATGTATAAATCGAAAAAATATCAATTTATACATGTATAAATCACCCCATTTTCAATTTATACATGTATAAATTGATAACGAAATCGATTTATACATGTATAAAAATGTATAAAAATGTATAAATTCAATTTCTGAATTTTAAGCATTTTGCTTGTCATGCGATGAGCTTTTATCAAATAGAATCATTTCTCAGAGTTGCCAACCCCACCACCTCATGAGTTTAGACATTTCCTGACTCCCTGATTTTTTTAAAAAAATCAATGTGTCAGGATCTAAGTTTTGCTGATTGAGAGTTTTGCTGATTGAGAGTTTTGCTGATTGAGTGCAAGAATGCTTTTTGTTTGCTGGCGTTTGCTGGCTCCAAGTGTGTGCTGCTCACGCGACGCGTCCTCAGCTGCCGGTATCGTTCACAAGATGGAGCCTGTGCAGCCTAGGAGGATGACGTATGCGGAGCAGCTGGAGGCAATGCGGCCACCTTGCGGGTTTTGCATCCTGGCGGATGGGACGATCCTGCTGTCCAATCGGCCGGAGACCTACACGGCGGAGATGGTGGTTGATGCCTATGAGGCATGGCGAAAGATGAAGGCAGATGGCTTGCTTCCAGATCGGTGCGGTGAACATGTTGATGGACAAGTTGCTGAGGAGGAAAGGCCTCAAATGCCAGTGGCTCCACACCGTTCTTCGAGCTCGAGCGCCACGCCTTACCCTGACCTCGTCGCTGCCACAGCTCCGGAAGCGCCCATGGAGGATGAGAAGCCTGATGAGAAAAAGCCTCGCAGGAACAAGAAAAAGAAGAACAAGAACTGAAGCTGGTTGCGCAACCTCCAATGGTTTTCCCGAAAGTTTTGACGTTCGAGGAAGCTGCCTTGTTGGCCGGCAAAAGGCACAATGATGAGCAGTGAAGACCGCTCGTTTTGGTTAGCATGTGTTTCATACAGTATTGCGGCTCCATGAGCCGCAAAGCTGTTCAAATGTTTTGGGTACCGGGTATATATGGCGTTGGCTTGGGTTTCATACAGCATTGCGGCTCCATGCAGCCGCAAAGCTATTCAAATGTTTTGGGTACCCCGTAACGTTGGTTGCGCGGCTCACTGAGTTTCACTCTAGACTGTATATAGATGGTTTGCAGGCGCTTTGCAATTTCAAATTTGTACCGGTCTGTGTCTTGTCACCAAACGGTTTGAAGCATGGCTGCTCCTACCATCGTGGTTGATGAGTCCCAGGTGGATGGTTTGCCAGAGACCCAGGCGTACTCTGACTTGCCAGTCCCACCGACGCAGGTTGCTGAGCCTGAGAAGAGTGACACTTGGCCACATGATGCTCAGCCCAGAGACACTTTCATGAGTGAGGAGAAGGTTGGCGAGAAGCCTGAGACCGGTGAGACTGCTCTCACTGGCCCTGCTCAACCTGAGCCCGATAGGGAAGCTGAGGTGCCTGCTGCCCAGCCGTCGCAGGGACTTGTTCGGCAAAATGCTTTTCTTGAGGAGGAAGTTGACTCCCAAGTGGTGATTTGCAAGAAGTGTCACCTTGAGCAGGACATCAACACCGTTGTCATCCGTGGTCCTCGGGAAATGTGGTGTCGGGCGTGCAATGCGTTGTATACGCTATTGCGCCGCAACTTAGCCTGGCCTCCGGTCCAATTTGCTACTATGACCAAGGAACAGCAAGCTCAGTTCTTCTCCCAGTGCCAAAAGGACCGGGAGGAATCGATGAAGAGTTCCTTTTGCTTTTGCCGTGTCAAGGACACGCTGACAAAGGTGATGATCGAGGAGCAGGTCAAGCAGCGACGATTAGAGGTGGGGGGGCACCTACCTGCCCCTGTCAGTCTATGAAGCAAAGGGGTACAAGATCGACGCCGAGTTCGAGTCCAGGAACGCAAGGCAATGGTCAGATGGGCTCCAGTGCTGGACCTATTTACTCAATGAGGTGTCGGTGTCGGAAAGCGATATCCAGTCCTCAGTGGAGCGCAGCGTCTTGGAGGCCGAGCGCAACGTGAGGAAGCGCAAGGCTGCCGTCATGCAGGGAGGGCCCCAAGAAGGTCACAGAGGCCGCGTCGAGCACCATTCAAAGCCGTTGGTCTACCTCGCCTCCTGAGTATGCTACCATAGGAGGCAGCTCCATGAGGTTCTTGCGCATTGAGATCCAGAGACTCCAAGATGGTTTGTATTTTCTCCATCAGGGATGCTATGCCCGTGAAGTCATCGACCGGCGTCCAGCTGCTCAAGCGTACTCATTCATTCGAGTGCCAGAAGAGAAGGAAGAAGAGGAGGCAGTGTCACTCCCAAAGGTTCGGGAAGCTCAAAAGGTGACTGGTGAGCTCTTGTGGCTATCGGTCAAGACCCGGCCTGACCTCCCATGGGCCGTAATGAAGATGGCCCAGAATGCGGTGAAGAAGCCGCGCTTCACGGTGGAGTGGATGTTGGCCCAGATCTTCAGAGAGCTCAACCTCGTCGTGAAGGCACACTGGAGGTATTGGTCGATGCATCTTTCTCTCCAGGAGATGGCCATAGTGTGTCAGGCACCGTTATTCTCCTTGCTGGGTGTGCAGTGGGAGTCCAAGAAACAAGGCCGCAGTCAGAGAGATCGGTGAGGGCATTGGTGGAATTGCTCATGGCCAACGTCGACCTGGAGCTCTACAATGACAACCGCGCTGCGGTGGTGCTGGCGGTGGAGGGTGGCGGACAAGACACTTGAGAATCCGAGCCAGCTGCCTGACTGAAGCTTTGAAGACGGGAGAGACAACTCTCACTCATCGCATCGGGACTTCGTTGTGGGCCGATGGATTGACAAAATCTCTTCCCGCACAGGTGATGAATCATTTTTGTCAGGGAGTATGGCCAGGAGATCCTTCGCTCAGGTCTGATGACCAGGGGGGTCGAGAGGAGCGCTTGCCAGTTGTCAATTCGACCAACCTCAAGATGCTCAAGTCATTGTCTCTGCTTGCTGCTGGAGCGGCTCTCTTGCCAGGGCCAACTGCTAGTGAGACGTGTGAAATAAAGGAGGCCAGGAACGATGCTGAGTCTGGCTCATGGGCTGACCAGGCGTGGTTGGTGATGCTTGCTGGCTTGGTGTGTTTGTTGCGCGTCATCAAAGATTTGGGCTGGGAGCTGGTGAAGCGTGTCTTTGGACGTCGAGAACAGCTGAAGGTGAAGTTGCTTGCTCCAGGAGAGAGGAAGCTGGTTTCTTTGGGTTTAGCACTTGAGTTGCCTGCAGGGTGCTATGGGAGAATCGCCTCCCGAAGCTCACTGGCTCTTCGAGGCATAGATGTGGCTGGGGGAATGATCGATCCTGATTTTCGTGGTGAGGTAAAGATCATCCTGGTGAAAAATGGGTCTGAGCATTTGGTGGTCAATTCAGGTGATCGTGTTGGTCAGCTGGTTTTGGAAAAGTATGCCAAGGTGGAGGTGGTGAGCACGGGAGCACTGTCTTCCACTCAAAAAAAGGAAGGAGGCTTTGGAAGCTCTGGCGTCTCTGTGAAGAGTGTTTCCAGATCCTACTCAGAACCACAACCCGCTCTGGAGAAACAATGGGAGATTTCATCCACCGCTTGAAGCTGCAGGAGTTGCGAGAGTTTAGATGGATGTTCCCAGTTGGTCTCATGCCGGAGCTTCATGTGGACCGCCTCAGTGGTAGCGCTATGACCTTCACGCAAAAGGTGACTCAAGGCACGATTCAGGTGATTGTTCGCAAGCATCCTGCACTGAGGAAGAAACTGTTTGACACCGAGACGACAGCTCCGCCACCGAAGGATGGCATCACGGCCGGCGTGGTGACTTTGGGGTGGATGGAGGATGGCTCTATTTTTGCAAGGGTGGACAACAGGAGGCCGAGCCGTTCAATGTGCTACCTCCGATCGCAGTGGAAAGGCGTCAGCCTGTTCTTCTCCTGGATCTAAACACTGGGGTGGTGGAAGAGCACTAGGGTGGCCTGCTGAGAGCTGTTTTTTCAAGATTTGTTAAATTCTCCCCTGACCATTCAATGGGGAATGGCCGGGCGCTTTCGTTTGATTTGTTTAGAAGCTCGTTCAGCTTAGAGTTACCTCACGATGCCCGAACTGCGAAGGGCTTGAGTTTGGCGGCTTTTGTATGCTGTGCTGTTCCCTGAAGACCTAACAATAATGTTGGGAGGGGAGAGCGAAGAAACACGCACAGCTTTCTTGATGTCTTGTGAAGGCTCATGCATTACACCTGGGCTATGTACCGTAGCCCTTTGCTTGTGCGAGAAACAAGAGCTTTTTGCTGTGTAAGTGGAATCCCCCTTGTGGAGGTCTCTGGGGTGAGGGATTTCATTTTATCATGAAAAATTTTATTTAATAGAATGGAATCTTTCAGGCTGCTGCTTTATAACATGAGAACCCGACCAACCGCCACATAACGCGAGCGGTGTAGGGATTCTGGAGAACCTAAGATGCTGAATCAATGGTTCAAGACCCCGCAAAACATTCAAGACAGACACCGAACGCGCACCCCAAGACTCACAAACAAAATGCAGCCAAGCATCGCTATCCCACACCCTGGCCACCAAGCCGCAGTGCTTCAAGATGGATCGATCAACGGCGGCACGGTCATGTTCCTCGCTCCTGGGCATGTGGGTTCTCAGCAGGAACAGCCATGTAAGTATGTGTCAGTCAACAATCAACAAACGACAAGAAAGTGCACAAGCAAGTAAGTCAAGGTTAATTGAAAATCAATAAGCGCAAGCAAGACACTCCAGCATGCAACAAAAATTGTTGCACTGAACTGAAATGTTGTCCGCCACTTCAAAGATGATGTCTTGAGGACGGTCAACGACGCTGCCATTTGGAAGGTGGGCCTGGGCCTTAGTGGCATGAAAACGCAACCTGATCAGAATGATGAGACCATGGGCATGCGTTTGAAATCTTAATGTGAACCAAGCAGCTCTCGTTCTCATCCCTTTGATGGGCCAAGCGAGAATGGCGACCTTTCGTGGCCAGCGAGGCACTCTCCACGTATTTCCAGCGCAAGCGCCCGCCATAGTTGTACACGCGGCCGCTCTCCAATTCAATAATCCTCAGATCCAGTTCCACTACACCACAACTCGTGCGCAACTATGTTGACGGAAGCTTGCACACAAGCGCAACCCTGTTGCAATGCATGGGATATCAAAAAATAAGTTGTTCCAAGCTACGCCTTATCACACAGATCAGGATCAAGTTTCCACCTTGAAATGTTTGCGCTGCGGAATCCATGACAATTTGCCAATGAATGATATCAGTTGGCCACTCATGTGTCATCATGTGTCCACTTGCAGCAAAGGTACAACAGGAACAAAGTTTGCTGGCCAGCACGATCCAGCTGCAAGCCGATCTTCAAGTACTTCTCTGGCAGCAAAGCCACCGCTATGGAGTTGGAGGGCATGCAGGCAGAAAAACTGAATCTGACTTGAATCTGAGGGTTGAGAAGCTTGAATTTGAATCTTCTCACCGGCTGAAGACAGAATCTGATCTGATCCGCAAATGACATTTGATCTGACCTGACTGTGAGTGCGGCAAGTTGACGGTTAGTGTGAAGGCTAGTTACTAGTTGAGTGTGGTAACAAGTTGAGTGTGGCAACTACTTGATGTGCTCCCTCTGAGGGTATGAAGGCCCATCTGATCCACAAAGGGCCATTGATCGGTGGTTGGCAAAAACCAGGAAACCCTGCCATGATATCAGATTCAGAGAAAGAAACAGGGTCATGATATAAAAATACTCGGAAACCATGGATCAGACTCAGAATCGCTGAGTGAATCCGCCCGCAGCCAAAAAGTTAATACCTTAAAGGTATACATGCGCTATCAACAAATGACAGAACACGACGAGCCATCCTTGCCTTCCAGCACAGGTGCAGCAAGTCGAAGGTATGTTGAGGACCTGGCTCGGTTGACTTGAAATGTCATCATTTTATTTGTTCATGTCCAATGTCAGTCATGACAGAATGGTGGACCGCCTTCTAGTGACACAGTGGCATGTGACGACATGTGAGTTGCACAGCAAAGAAAAAATCAATGATTTAGCAACAATGTGAGGCAGAAAGACATGTGAGCGTGTGTGAATGTGAGCTGCCAATAAATCAATGATTCAGAAACAGCAAAGCTTCTCACAGGGCGCCCACTTCAATGGGCCGGTTTCGTTTTGATCCTCGACTCGCTTCACGCGCTTATCGTCAGGAACTCTGCCTGAAAAAGTATTAATTAGCAAAATCGAGGACGATTTCAGTGGACCATTTTTGCGAGGATGAGTCAATCACCAGCGGCGGACAATTACTGTGAATATGTGTAACCCTTCAAAGATCTCAACCTCATGTGAGCAGCTATCATTCGCTGAGCTCCGTTCACAAATTGATACTCACAAATGACTTTATCAATGTGAGTTCAACTTTGTGAACCAAGAACTGATGATATCATTCATCATTTGACCAAAGGACCACACACGGGCTTGATGGGACTTGAAATAGTCGTTCAAACAGAACCTTATTCTGCCTGGTTGCCTCTTGGTGAAGTGAAGTCCAATGACAAAAAGACATCCTGCCGCCTACTCTTTTGCATGTTTATTTATGGGTTATAGTCAATAGCAAAGAACCTGCAAAGCCACTGTGTGTACTGCAGGATTTCGTCCAGACTGGTCCTCAACTCCTGAAGGCGTCGTTCTACATGTCCTCCTCTCATTTGCGTCGTCAAGCACATCCTCAAGGATCACGATAAAATCGTTGAGATCCTGAGTCCAAAGATTACAATTCAGATGGTCAATCACATGAATAGTTCAATTCAAATCTCAAGTTCTTACTTATTGAACATTTTTACTTTGAAAACTTGCAGCCAAGACTCTCTCGAAGCAAAGAAAGTTTCAGCCTCCAACCTTTGGAGTTGATTGTTGACGTCAAAGATCAACTGTCGGTGCACGGACAAGGATACCGTGAATCCGTGGAGCCCCAACATATACCTCAGGTGGCTCAAATGGAAACAGAGCTAACAATCCAAACTGTCAAATTCA